AGAGGAAAATACCAGCACACAGGAGACAATCAGCCAGAGAAGTACGGAAAGTAAAGTTGGAAGTAAATCGGTGAATTAGTGTGAAGTTTTACGTAACTCAGCGTCTGCTGATATTGGCCTTTATGACACGATAAGTCCGGTTGGCAGAAATGAAAATTAATTGAAAGGAAAAACTTTGTATTTACTTACTAAACATTTTTAGAGTGAAGGTCACATTCTGTTTTTTGTTGCTAAACCAAAATTGAAAAAAAAAGATTTTTTTTAATGATTTTTTTTTTTTACAAAAGAAAATGAATGGAAGAGAAATTATTTTCAGTTGACACTGCGCAGTGCTATAATGTTAGAATGTTACACCTTTACAGGGGCCTTAGTGACCTGGATTCAACATGCACTATGAAATAAAGCAAATAGTTACACTAAATTAAAGGGATAGTTGGTGGTTTTTAGTCTCATTCACATTTGGACAGACAGTGGAGGAAAACAGAAGTAATGTTAGAGAATTTGTATTTTTTTGTTTCTTTTGTAGAATATCAGACCACTTCAAAATCTGCTTTTTTGTCGCGTCAGAATCGTGAAAACCTGTTGCAAAGGTTTGAAAAGATTTGTTTCAATTTTAACATTGATTGAATTCAGTTCATTCTACTTATAATTCCATTGACACACACACAAAAAAACATTGTCAAGAAGTTTTCTTTTAGCTTCATTCTAAAAGGTTTCTTAATATTAAAGAACAGAATAGTTTCAGCCTCTTGGTTTGGAATGCTGCTGTCTGGATTTTTTTCTTCTAAGTTTAAGACCTTGACAGTGTTGGTGTTAATGAGTGAAACAACTTGTCACTTAAAGTAACTTAAATGTTGCTTCTCTGAAACACGTTACATTCCGTCTATTCATTACTCCTCCACCGGGGACACTCACAACACATGGGGGACAATGCAGCCTGGGTAAATGGACCTTGGTGAGGTTTGTGGTGTATTCACACAGTGTCTGGAGAATAATACGGTTTGTTTGAAATATATTAAAAAATCAATAACATACAATGTAATAAAAGGTTGCCATGACAACTGTTTTGCCGCTAATGAGAAATGGTGGAGGTGTTGACCTGTGATTCTGAATGATCAATGTCCCTTTGAACAACTGGCAACGACTGAAAAGGTTTTATGTTCCATTTAGTCATCACAAACGGTTGGACACAAGTTTCTGTTCTAATCACTGATTTACTATGTTTTTGAAAAATGACTGATGTGCAATAATTGTGATTATTGATTCACAACAAAGACTTGTCTACTTTTGTTTTAATATTTTTAGATGATTCGTACTTAAAAACACAATTTTGTAGAATATATATACCATATTTACCACGGGTGTACCTTTAATTCCACTCTAACTCACACAGGCCTTGATCATAGTTTGTGATAAAGTCTGGAGTGGCAGAGAAGTACATGACTGTGGTGCAGCTTTGAGATGAAAAAGGGACATGGCATGACATCAATTACACTCTGGCGACCCCTAAAGGCAGCTTTCCAAAAAGAGTGAAACTGGTGGTCGTTCTTAGCTTGTCGTATAGTAGCTGTAATATATTATATCTCGTAGTGGATGGGAGGAGGAAGTGTGTCGGCTTGATTTAAAATTTAAATGTGTATAGTTAAAAAAAAAAGAGCTTGAGAACGATTTGTCATTTAAACAAGTGTTAAAATAATTAGTTTTGGTAGTACGCCAGTATGCATTTAATATAAAAATTATACTTTTATTCAGATCTTGTTCTGAGAAGCATGAAATACTCATTTAAATGATGTGTCTGAGGATTATGGGTAATTGAGCATCTTCAGAGAACTCATCAAAAAAAGTTTCTCTAATCTTTGATGCTTAACTTAGAAAAGTAAGAGCTTTTCCAACTGTTTACTCTTATTTCTGAGATGTTCTTGATATTTTACAGCACTTGTTTAGTGAGTTAGT